TTGCTCGATAGCCACGCTAACGCTAGTTCTTTAGACTGAACTGTCGCGCTTCTCGTTGCGTCACACCTCAACCCGCCTCAAAGCCAACGCTGATTGGACGTTCGTTTGGTGAACGGCTCCAAGTTTTCTTTAACGGAGAGTCTCCAGACTGATCTGCGAGTGAAACCTTGAAAGCTCGCGAGATCAGGATGGTCTCACGAGGCTAATGGAATCGAGCAATAGAAATAAATAGAAAACCAAGTTTCATATTGGATTGATGATACCGTTATTTGCCTGCAGGTAAATTAGTTTAGCGGAACAGAGTAGGTTTTATTATGAATTATACAAAAGTTATGATATAAATAAATTATATACTTTGTGTATTTTCCTGTTAAAAGGGAGTTTTTTCTCTGGACTGTCACTGCATGCCTGATTGATCGGAGGTATTGCTAGAGTTAGAATGTGTAAGACTAGATCAACTGGGTTCATAAAATAAAAAACGTTTCCAATCTGACTGAATTGTCTTTCTGAAGGGACTTGTGTTGAGAATCTGTGCTATAAAAACGGAATTTAACTGAAAATGCAATATATCACTATGAACTATGAAGGAACATGAATCATACACCAAAAAGATGTGTTAAAAATTTTATTAAAAAGAAACAAAAACAAAACCAGAGCAGCTGCCAACATGTGGCCTCATAATTTAGGATTTCTGTACAGTTATCCAACAGTAGAAGCTTCTCTTAGGTCCTGAATCTTCCTCAGTGACACTGATTGGCATCTTTTCCACCTTGTGAGGTGTCCTTCAGCCTGACGCTCCCCGTCACATGTGCAACGAAGCATCTCAGTAGGTGGATTCCCCAGTAATGAATAGAGCTGTTGCAAAGAGAGAGAAGGAAAAATTACATTTACACACAAAACAGGTTCTGGACCAGAAAAGAATGATCTGATTCAAGTCACAGTCACACAGATTATTAAACAATTATATATGATATGAAAAATTATTGGTCGATTCTGATTAACAAGTTAAACTTAATCTGTTCTATTTCTATTCAGTGTGAGCTGAAGGTGTAGGATGTTTAAACCAGAAATGCAGTTTCTCACGATACAACAAACAGAAAGCAGATTACATGTCGTTAAATCCATAAAACCAGAAGGCCATCAAGATAGCGATGCATCCAGTGCTACGTGATTAAGTGATTTCTCTGTGTTTCAGAGAAACTGATCCCTGTATGCACAGAGATTCCCCAACATGAACACTGGAGACCAGAAGCAACGCTGGTGGTGTTATTAAAAGAGCAACGGCGCCGTCACTCAGTTAGCAGCAGAAGGTTAGAAGGAGTCAGAGGATTGAAAGCCATGAAACACAGAGGACGCCTCATCAGACTGCAACCACAGCACTTAATGGGAGCATGTGAAGGGTCGGGCTGTGGGTTCAGGGTGGGAAATTATGAGTGCAGTGGAACGGGTCGAGCCAAACCAAAGCTAGAGGGTAGAAACCGCAGCCTTCCTGTCCATCATCAGAAAATGTGGATTTTTTAAATCCAAAATTCAGATATAATTGGAGTATTTATAGGCTACAAACTAGGGGTGAGTATCGGCATGGGTGTTGTGATATGATACGTGATATTATTACAATATTGTGATATTTTACCTAGCTATTGTGGAGTTAGGAAGTTGAGGCTTGCAAGAAATTTCTTCTTGCAAGAAATAAGGTTCAAATTTATTTAACGTCCTCAAACAGAGAAATAGAGCTCTCTGACTGCAGCAAGCTCAGTACAATCATTTATAACTTATAAAAATCACACACTTCCCCCAGGGGAACCAACCCACCCCCTGCATAAAGAACATTCTCACACTTGAATGTTTGGTTATTCCCAAGAAAAAGCACTTCAATTCATCAAGGACATCAATTTTAGCCAGATAAATCCATGTTGTTTGGGTTTTCATGTTAATGTCTTCCACTGTGACTAAAGAGATGGTGACGTGCTGCACAGTAAAGAGGCTCCACAGCGCCACCTACCAGAGTGGAGGTGCAGAGGTGGTCCATTTTCCCCTAATTGTTTAAGGCACAAATGTTTTTCTTCTTTTTTTTTTTTTTTTATCCATATTAGAGACTGAAAGATCGATATTTTTAATTTTTTTTATTTTATTTTCACAACAAAAACATAAAAACAGAATAATGTTTCACTAAAAAAGAAAATGTGATGGACAACTGCCGAGAAACCTTCAAGGGGCTTAATGAGTGGCAGTCTCCATAAAAACCAATATATTTCACCATTTCAGACATCTACACTCACCGGCCACTTTATTAGGTACACCTGTCCAACTGCTCGTTAACACTTAATTTCTAAGCAGCCAATCACATGGCGGCAACTCAGTGCATTTAGGCATGTAGACATGGTCAAGACAATCTCCTGCAGTTCAAAGCGAGCATCAATATGGGGAACAAAGGTGATTTCAGTGACTTTGAACGTGGCATGATTGTTGGTGCCAGAAGGGCTGGTCTGAGTATTTCAGAAACTGCTGATCTACTGGGATTTTCACGCACAACCATCTCTAGGGTTTACAGAGAATGGTCCGAAAAAGAAAAAACATCCAGTGAGCGGCAGTTCTGTGGGTGGAAATGCCTTGTTGATGCCAGAGGTCAGAGGAGAATGGCCAGACTGGTTCGAGCTGATAGAAGGGCAACAGTGACTCAAATAACCACCCGTTACAACCAAGGTGGGCAGAAGAGCATCTCTGAACGCACAGTACGTCGAACTTTGAGGCAGATGGGCTACAGCAGCAGAAGACCACACCGGGTGCCACTCCTTTCAGCTAAGAACAGGAAACTGAGGCTACAATTTGCACAAGCTCATGGAAATTGGACAATAGAAGATTGGAAAAACGTTGCCTGGTCTGATAAGTCTCGATTTCTGCTGCGACATTCGGATGGTAGGGTCAGAATTTGGCGTCTACAACATGAAAGCATGGATCCATCCTGCCTTGTATCAACGGTTCAGGCTGGTGGTGGTGGTGTCATGGTGTGGGGAATATTTTCTTGGCACTCTTTGGGCCCCTTGGTACCAATTGAGCATCGTTGCAACGCCACAGCCTACCTGAGTATTGTTGCTGACCATGTCAATCCCTTTATGACCACAATGTACCCAACTTCTGATGGCTACTTTCAGCAGGATAATGCGCCATGTCATAAAGCTGGAATCATCTCAGACTGGTTTCTTGAACATGACAATGAGTTCACTGTACTCAAATGGCCTCCACAGTCACCAGATCTCAATCCAATAGAGCATCTTTGGGATGTGGTGGAACGGGAGATTCGCATCATGGATGTGCAGCCGACAAATCTGCGGCAACTGTGTGATGCCATCATGTCAATATGGACCAAACTCCCTGAGGAATGCTTCCAGCACCTTGTTGAATCTATGCCACCAAGAATTGAGGCAGTTCTGAAGGCAAAAGGGGGTCCAACCCGTTACTAGCATGGGGTACCTAATAAAGTGGCCGGTGAGTGTATATGATACTGTGTAAAAAAACAACATTTCTTTGTATTAAACAATTTAACATATCATTTAGACCACAGACAGTTCAGACAACTTAGTAGCAGCAATTCTCCGTTTAAATTGTTCTTTAGAAAGATCTGTCAGTGATGTGGGAAGACTGTTCCATATCCTTCATCCTCTGTATAAAACACTAAACTATGTTTGAGCTGTACGAGAGTAAGGAGGCCTGATATGACAACTACTACCAGTTGGATACTGGTGAAATTCATCATTAAAAGTAAAAATATTACAAAAGTGCTGGGAAGTAACTTTTTTATAGAGCTACAAATAAAGCTATTTGAAGTTGATTCACTTGATAAACACTAAGAATACTTCCCTGAGCAAACACTGGTTGGGAGGGGTGTCTACGATTTACACAAAATAAAATCACAAAATAACATTAAAGCTTGCTTCTGAAGTCGAAAAACTAATATTATAAATATAAAATATTATAGTGGGGGAAACGAATATCACGATATATCACCAAATCGTTTTTTTTCCCAAGTCCCTACTACACACCAAGGAGGTGACTGTGAGTCTAAATATATGTCCTTTAAGTCACTGAAAGGTCTTATGCAGCTGATGGACCAACATTGCAGCACTGTGACCTTTAATCGCTGCAAAGCAATAAGGAACAAATGTCACCACCAGGAGGGGAGGATTAAAGTGTCCTTTTTTTCCACAAAGAAATCAGATCAGATTAAAGCGAACAAATTAATATTCCAACAATTTTGCCTGATCAAAATATTTTCCTGCAAATAAGGATTTAAGTTTTTGTTGTTTTTTTAATCAATCACGTTTTAGCAAGAATGAACAAAAAGTGAAGATAATAACTGACAGATTAAGTGACAACTAACAATCATACAAACTTTAATGTTGAGAAATTTAACCCGTTTTATGACGTAAAGAAACATTTTTACTGAAGCACAATTATTCTAAAGTGAAAATACAAACAACAGTAAAATACAGAGAGAGTTTAACTGTAAACAGATGGAGGATGATCTGTTTTCTGAATGAGTTTATTGTTCTAGAAGTGACCAATAAACTTTGGTCACCAGGGACTCTGACATGTTCATCAACAATTAAAACGCAAAACATGAAAACGAGGAACTGATTAAACCAAATCAGAAATAAACAAGTAGTTTAGCTGTCTGTCAAAATAAAAGGTAAAAAAAATTATGTCTAAAATCAAAAAAGCAGACATGTTCATTTTTCTAAAGAAAAACTGCTAAATAAACAGGTCCTCACAATGTAACAGTGAATATTAGACAATGACTTGTTTGCAACTGTTCTTCTTCACTGAAACAGTTTTTTTTTATGTAAGAGGAAAAATCAGAGCTTAAAATAAAACTCAAGATTTGTACTTTATTATATTGTGTAATTTTCTTTCTCTGCGAATTGATATTATAAAACTGGTATCGAAAAAAGTATCGTTCAGGAACCGGTAACGAAGTGAAGGTATCGGTATTGATACCGGCACCGAAAAGTTTTGAACAATACCCAGGCCTAAGGGTAGCTCCACCCAATGTTCATCAGATCCACTTTTCGACACGCAGCCGGAGCAGCTAAGATGCTTCACAACTAACTTGTATAAACATCAAAAAGGAAGTTTTTGTTTCTCCTGCTGCGTGCGGTCTGAACGTAGCATTACTCTTTGCGTAAAGTGAGCGTTTGCAGCAGCTGAACAATGTGTGCCTGAAGCTGAGGAGAGAAAGTAAAACCATCACCTGATGAGAAAGGGCTGAGGGAAGCAGCCGGTGGTCTGGCTGTTAACCACCTCCTGTAGATTCAGCAGGTTCGTCAGCAGAGCTCCCCGTCCACACTTGTCGATCTTCGTCACCACGATCTGAAACACAGCGACAGCATTTTCAAAAACATATCAGCAGCATTTTCTATCAGTCACTCATGTGTTTTCATGAATGACGTTGCTAAAATAAAAGATTAAAGGCTGCCTGATGTCCTTTTCAATTACGATTTCCTTCTAAAGTCAAACTAACCATTAAGAATTTGAGCTATTCTAACATTTTTACCTGCAAGACTGAAATAATATAAAAGAAGAGGCCAGTTTCACAAATGTAGGGAGACAACTTTGTTCCACTATTGTTACAAAGAAAATGTGTAAATTAAAATGTTAACAAATGCAAAACATTTTTACTTAAAAAAAAGAGGTTATGAAAGTAACTTTGCTGTTTCTCATAAATTTTTTTCTTATTATATGTATGTATTAAGATGTTATATTTTCAAATACCATATTTTCAATGTATTTTTCATTTACAGGTTTCAGATTTTTACATTTTTAGTGATTATATTCTCTTTACTTCAGAGGGCGGGATTTCCTGGAACAAAGACGTGTTTCTGTTTGTCTGCAGCAACATTATATTGGTCAAAGTGCTCGACTGCATTGGGCTCCAATAATTAGATTTATGGATTACAATTTTAAAAGAATAGAAAATACTAAGCTTGCAAATACACTTTTTACAAAAAGAAATAAAAAAAAATTAAATAAGTAAAACAAAAAACAAAACAAAAAAGGAAGTTGGAAAAAAAATTTGAAAAAAAAAATATATATACAATTTTTTTTTTTTTTTTTTTTAGAAAAATTTAATCTGGAAAAAAAAGAAGAAAGAAATAGCAAATCTACTCTCAAAGCTTTTTTTTTTTTTTATAAATAGGGTTATTCAAAGTTTTAATTCTGGTCAGATTTTTTTTTTTATAGTTTCCATTTACAAAAAAAAATCCTGTGCTTGCAACCAAACTGGATCAAAATCTCCTCCATAGATCAGGGATCTCTAACCCTGTCCTGCAAGTTTTAGACGCATCCCTGCTACAACATGGCTGCATCAAAGCTGATGGCATGAAGAATATTTGAATTAGCTACGATGGAGCAGCTTATGCATCTACAGTGTAAAGCAGGGGTCACCAACATGGTGCCCACGGGCACCAAGGGGCCCTCAAGGACCACAAGGGGTGCCCTTAGAGTCTTCTGAAAATAGAACAACTAATCAGTGAGCTACGTTTGAAATTTCATTGTATTCTGTTGCTTTTCTTTTTTAATCAGTTATAGAACATTTCATCATTTAATCATATATGGCATTTAAGCATTTATAGAGATTTCAACATGAAAATGTCTAAAAGAAAATTATAAATTTAAAGAAACGATAAAGATATGTTTATGATGTATGAAGTTTAGTGAACGTTGACCCTTGCCATTCATAGGTCAGTATTGGTAGCCCCTCCTGTGACTTAGTACCCCTGAATTAACCCTCAACTGTAAAAAGGTTGGTGACCGTTGATCTAAAGTCTGCAGGGCAGCAGAACTTGAGGACCAGGGTTGGAGATCCCTGCTATAGATGCTAATGAGGATCTTAAATGGTTGAAGACATTTCTTGTTGCACTTTCACTATCTGCCCACTAAGTGGCAGTGTAAGCCCTAACAGACCAGTCAAAGAAAGATGCTTATGAACCATCAACACCCAGAATAGAGCACCTTGATATCAGGGAAATGTTTTTTCACTGCCTTTGTCTCCATCGCCTTCTGAATTACAGCCAGATGTTCCTCAGGTTTGTTCATTAAAGGCAGCTGGAGTCCACCTGATTCACCAAATCCACTATCAATACACCGAGGATGATTACAAGGCTTTTAAAATATGTCATCTTACCAAATATAGCCTTAAAGTCGTCCTTTATGGTTGTGATACAGCATGCTAATTTTGCCATAATGATAATAATGAGTATATTTCACCCTGACATCCATTTAAAGGTGTCTTTTGAACGGCTAACATCGGAAACCGCTGGAGTTAATCCTGAAAAATGAGGTTCCAGCTGGGTGAAGTGGTGTCCATATTCTCCATCACTGCTTCCTCACTCTAGCTCTGCTCATGGCTGATATGTCACTGAGTTTAATAACCCTAATGGCATGAATAATTAAGGGCCGAGTTCCTTCAGAGTGCTGGTGCTTCGTTATTACGTCGCAGCAGGGCAGTTCTGGATGTTTTTAGATAGCTGAGTGTGAACGTTCAGCATTAATTCACCGCGGACGTGTCGAGGATCTAAAAGACGGATGAGTCAAAGCTAAAAAAGAGAGATAAAGTGGTTAAAAGCCATGACTCCCATTATGCAGAGGAAACTCTGACGCTTCCTGAGCTGTTCTATGGATTTAAAAGGACATTAAGTGCAATTTTAAAGTTCCCAAACAAAATAATTTATTCATCATAAAATAGAATAAGAAGGAATTAAGTTTTTTATGATCTCTGAAATTTATTTAAATAGACAGAAGTTTTACCACATATGGACATCTGGTCTCCTCACACATCTCCAGGGCAACCAGGTCTGCCTTCTGAAGACCGACGCTCCCGTCCACCAGGAGGAACGTCCTCACCAGGCTGGAGGAAGCCAAACATCAGACACAGATCGACTCTCAGTACATTCATTAAATCAGTCAGGAAATATATATAAATATGATGCGATGAATGTTTGCAGGACTTCGTACAGGAAACTAGAAAATGGATCCGAATATATTCTTACAGCAAAACCACCAAAGAACTGCAGCTATCTGTAAGAAGATCCACACCGCCACCTGGTGGTTGAAGCTGCACACATCACACATAAAGAATCTTCAGCTGCTTAGTTTGTTTGTCAGTTCCAATGTGTCACTTCCTGTTTGGAGGTTTTTTATTTAGAGCACGAGGCAAAGACTCCAGTGCAGAAAAGATGCTACCATTGTTTTAACAGGAAAAACTCCACACTGAAAACAAATAGTCAATTGTAGGGGTTCAAAGTGACAGTATTCATTAAATCAGAGACAGATTTCCATAAAAGGGAAACCTTTTCTGCTCTTCAAGAAATTTTCAATCTAATGTATTATAGAAATGCTGAATAGATTTGCCGCTATGGATCAGGTTCAAAAGAACGTTAATATTGGTCAAACATATCTGCAAGTTGATGCATCACATGTTTTGATGCAGTTCAATCTGCAGAGCCTAACCCCGAAATCCGCTCCAGACCGCCTGCGCAAAGCAAAGCCTACATCCTCTGCTGTGGCTCCAGTCCGCTCCGCTCTGCGTTCCTTGGAGATAGTAGAGAGCATGCGTGAGATGAACCAGGGTTTCCGCGGATCATTAAAAATAATTACAATTCATACATTTTTTTTTTAAATCAAGGCCTTAATTGGCACTAAAATTAATTAAATATGTTTATCGTGGCATTTATAATTCTTTAATAAAAAATGTTTATAAAAAACTATTTCGTCAGATATATTATATCGCGATTAATTTGCGTGGAACTGATCATAAAGCCGTATGTTCGGAAAAGAAGCTCGAAGCGGAGAAAAAGCTAGAGAATATATATATACGTATATATGTGTGTGTGTGTGTGTGTTTGTTTACATGCATACAAGAGTCATGGAACTGTGCTTACAGCTCCTTCATATTTCATGCACACTAATATTTTGTGTACATGGTTCTTGTTGATGGCATTAAAATTATTTCTAATAGCATTAAAATAGAGTCACTCATTCCTGTATGAACCCAAACTCAGCATCTCTTTTCATTCCTGTAATAAGAAGTTTCTTTTGACTAGATTTGATTAAACTTTAAGTCCCTCGGTGAATAACTGATAGTTTGCATCGTATCATTTAAATAAACAATGTTAGTTTTTTTGGAATATATAAGAATTATGCTCTAGTTTCTAGTTACCGATCTGTTGCTACTATATTTTAATTTGACGAACCAGAAATTCTTGATGTTCTTTTTCCTGTCTGGTGCGATTGCAATTGCGGATCTTGACCTGGCCGGACCGGAGCGGAGCAAAAAATAGCTCGGCTCCGTATTTTGTCGGTGACGGATGGAGAAGACGTATGTGGACGGAGACGTGCGGAGGAGTAGCGGTGGATGTGGAACAGCTCTCACTGATTTACATGAAAGACAAGCGCTCCGTACGACGTACGTCAGCGGGGCGGAGTGGAGCGCTGACGGAGTATGTGGAATCTGTGGGTAACTGTCTGACGCGTTGGGGTCAAACTAGGGATGCACGATATAACCAGCCCCCTATCGGTATCGGCCTTAAAACTGAATATTGGACATCGGCCATCCCACCAATATTTAACTCGATATTTGATCAGCTTCTGAGTTTCTAAAGTCTAAAAAAAAAAAAAAAAAATACTACTTCTTCCTCAAAAACTTCTTTTTTACAGACTTAAAAACTTCTAAAGATGAGGGAAAAAATATTGATACATTAAAATATCCCAATATCTTCATATGNAAATATCACGAGAGTTTGTGACAGAACGATGAAATTTCACGAGATTTTGAAAGTAAAATAGATCGATACCGCGTTTTTAAAAATCTATTTGATATCAGCATATGAAAATAAAGTGTCAGAAATGGATAACAAAGCTGCTATTTTCAATGCCTACTTATTTTTGTCCAGCTTTAACATCGGTATCGATATCGGTTATCGATGACATGAGTTTTAAAATATCGGCATATCGGATATCGGCCAAAATCCCAATATCGTGCATCCCTAGGTCAAACACATCCGTCTGTTTATGTTCTGCAGAAAAATGCTTTAAACTCATTTTAAAAATCTGTATCTGCTCTAAAACTGTCCTCCTAACAGGCACCACTTACTTTTTCCTGGAGTAAAGATAAGGCTCCACCATCTCCACAAAGTCTCTGGGAGCTCTGTGGCCGTAACCCGGCATGTCCACCAGGGTGAAAGCTTTGCCAACTCGGAAGAAGTTCATCTTCTTGGTGTGACCCTGAAGGCGAGATATCAAAACAGCCATGAGAGGTGATCCACATCCAGCCTTTTCCTCTGCTTCCTATTTTGTTAGCAAAACAGCAGATTTTTTTTTGTCATCCTCTTCCCTCTGGAGCAATTCTCAACGTTTCAGAAACCAGAAACAGAAGGAGACGACGCAGCAGCTCATTCATTGATGCCATCTGAATTTCCTGTGCTGTGCTGAACTTTTCAACTACAATGGATACTAGGGCGGCCATTTCTATAGCACCAAAAAGGAGGAGAAGAATCTGGTAAATTCTCATTTATAGTAAAATTTTGAGCCGTTTAAAGAGGATGCTAGTGTAGCTGAAAAGGAAAAATATTAATGAAACGTCAAAAAGAATAGGTTCACATTATTTATATTTACTCAATACATTATGGTGTTCAAAACGTGACCACTGAGATGAATCTTTAAAGTGCAGAATGCCACAAAACACAACATATGGGGACTTAAACTTTAAAAATAACATTTATAATAAAAAAAGGCTAATATTTTATTTAAACAACAAAAGAGATTGTAAAAAAGACATTCAACTGCTCAAAAAAATTGCTTTTTCTTTAAAGAGTTTCAGTCTTTTGGGAACTTTTCTTCAGTGTTTGTGCAGCAGACCTGTTTTCATGATCATCCCTTTAGCTGGAAATCTCCCAGTCCACTTTCATGCCACAGTCTACACTTCTGTAGCACTGGTGATGTTTTAGAGTATGGCCCACCTTGCATAGGATGCATCAGAGCAGAGTTGTCTGTTCTTGAGACTGACATCTGTCCCAGCATGCACTGCGGCAGCAGCAGCTTTCAATAGAGCGCTCCATTGAAAGTTAAAAGTTCTCTTTTCTGTTGCTGTTGTTCAATAAAAGTACGTTTTAAGGTCATTTGAGGCAAGAACATTATACTTTTAAGCAACACTATACGGCCCATGTACTACGGAAGAGGATTAGGGCCAGTGGAAAAAAACCCCAAAGTTAACTGTTTTTTAAATTTTATTTCAGTTTAGTATTGGAAAAAAGTCAGACTTTTTTCTCAGAATTCTGACTTTAATCTCAAAATTCCGACTTAATTCTGACAATAAAAAAAGTCAGAATTCTGAGAAAAAAGTCAGAATTCTGAGATTAAAGTCAGAATTCTGGGAAAAAAAAAGTCAGAATTCTCACTTTTTTCCCAAACTATACTGAAATAAAATAAAAAAATCAGTAAACTTTTTTTTTTTTTAATTAGTGGCTCTAATCCTCTTCCGTAATGTACTGATTTAGTGCGTAATTTAAAAAACCCCCAGCAGACCTCTGAGGGTAACGTTAGCCCATCTGCAGCAGCGCTCTCTCTCTCAGCATAGCCGTGTGTGAAGGGCCGCTGGCTCTGATGACAAGTTTTTTGTTTTATTTGGCAAAATGTTCATTTGATTTGTGTTTATCTGACTGTGTTCATTATTATTCCCCCAATAAATGAAAAAAGTAAGAATTTATTATTATGTAGAGCAGAGGTGTTCAACAGGGGTCCACAGAGGTACTGCATGAGGATTGCATAAGGTTTGGTTGATTAGACGTTTTTTTTTTTTTTTCCCCTAATTGAAATGTCTTTAAATCCACATTAAAATGAATTCAACACACTGTAATAAAACAGATAAATGGAGGCAGAAGATGTCTTTCAGTCATTAATGCTCACATTCAGTGACACACAGGAGCTCTTTCAGGCTGGGCACCGTTTCATTCACAACACCTGTCCCATCAACCAGGAATCAGAATCAGAAATACTTTAACAATCCCAGGGAGAGATTACTTTTGTTACATTACTCCATCTGTAATAGAGTGACTATAGGACCAGTTTGATAGAACACTATTTCATACAATATATATAATTAGGGGGTCCCTGCTCCGTTTGGGGGTCCTTGCCCTGGAAAACATTGTAGAGCCCTGCTCTAGAGATGATTAATAACAGGAGGAGAACTACAGCTCCAGACGAACCGAGCGTGTGGTGATGTCATCAGTACGTTTCTGTCCCATATTTATCCTGCGTGCTGCCGTTTTCCGCGATTCAGCACTGTCCTGTGTTCTTCTTAAGAACATATCGTATTTTCACGACTATAAGGCGCATATAAACGTCTTTTTTATTTCCTCAAAATGTGCGGCGCGCCCTATGTGTTACTGCGGACGTTGTTGAGACCGCCATGAGAACGTTAAAGGGGGAAGTGTGGGCGTAGATTGTGTATAAAAGAACAGGTATGTGCTTTATGCAGAACATTGTTGTCATAACAACCCTGAAAATGGCAAAGAGACACGCCTATGAGTTAAATTTTTCCATCCGGACCAGGACTACTGTAGCTCAGCGACGTCCGGCGGATTA